GAGCAAAAAATGAAACTGATAATTTGAGAAAATAAAAGTTGAAGATAAAAGAGACACAAAATTTACGTGGAAAACCCCTAAATAAAATAGGGTAAAAACCACGGGCAATGGTAGAAGAATTTCACTATGAGAAAATAGGAATTACAACTTCTCTCGATCTACCAAAGAGAAAACAATGATAATTCTCTCTTGATAAAAAGGAGAAAACAACTCTCAAGAAACTCTCTAAATTCTCTCTAGTATTGGAAGAAAGCTAAAATGTTTGGGATGGTTTTGAAGCTAAATGATGTAGGGTATTTATAGTTGAAGCCTTAAGGACTAATCTTGTAAATATCCTAAATTGTAATGACTAAATTTATCATTTACCCATTACATAAATTCAAAATTTGGTGGCCAAAGTTTGACCACATTTTTCGTCCAATTATGCTGCCATTTTCAATGCACCGAAAGTGCAAAGACTTTCAACATATACCCCAACATTACTTTGGAAATGCAGTAACGACTAGAATAATAGCTATGAAGGCGAAGGAGCTGCAAGAACAAAGAGTTAGAGACATCGCGAGGGAAATGAACAGATTGATTTGTGCACAGACTGAAGAAGAGTTTAGACGAGACTTGGAGTGTTGGATAGCAAGTCCGAAAGTGATAACAACAGCGTCATTTCCGAATAATCTGACGAGCACCAGCAGTTCTTCGTATCGATGTATGAGAACGATTATGGATGGGGAAAGCCGATTGTAGTAAGGAGTGGGTTAGGGAACAAAGTAGATGGGAAGCTTACTGTGTTTTGTGGAGCAGAAGAAGGAAGCATTGACGTTGAAGCCTGCCTTTTGCTTCAGACCTTGGAAGCCATGGTCAATGATGATGGATTCATGGTTACAATCACACTTTAGCGTATGCATCCAAATTTCACTATGAACAAATGTATTCCTTATTTCTCAATAAATCTGCCACTTTTCTACTTCTAAAATATGGGGTAAATTACATGTTCCGTGATTTAAGTGATTCACAAATGGTGCAAGTATACACGTCGCAAGATATCATCTCCATAGTGATTGGTGTAACTCTGTATTCTAACTTCTTGCACCGTAAAAAGAAATAAATTGGTAATAATAGGAGTGTGAATAAACAAATAAATTAAATGAGCAAGTAAATAAAAGTAGAGTGATATCAAGTGAGAGAGCAAGCTGGGTTATCGGGAAGTACGGTGTGACAACTGTTTGGATAGTCTAGTAATTGATTGCCGAGGCAACTTGATTGCCTTGACCATTGAAAATGATTCAATTGCCGTAGCAACTGGGTTTCCTCTTTCAAAACTTAGCAGCGCGTTCTTCAATTCCTTCTTGTTATTCCTAATCTGAAGGACTGGTCAATTGTGCATGCCTTGGTGATACGTACCTCCGTTAACCATAGTGAACAATAACCGATTTGCACTCTTTTAGTCGTTGAAATCCGAATCTTATCCCTAAGATGGATTAACCTTCACCAATGTTCGTTCAAATGAAGATAATACTCATTCGTTTCTTGAATCTAACTCTCCTGATATTATATAAATGGATAATTCTCGAGATCCTCTCCAATTCACTCAAAATCAATTAAAGAACCAAGAATGAACGAACTTTGAATTCAAACCGCAATCAAGAACTTAAACAAATCCAAGAGTTTTCACAACTACAACAACCCAATAACCCAATCCAGTTAAAATTAATTCATGGCTGGGTGCGAAAAGATTACAATATAAAGATTTCCCAACAACATGAAAAGAAAAATACATAAGAAAAAAATAAGATGATATGCGCTAGTTTTTTTTCTCTCTCTCTCTCATGCGCCTCCCCTTCTTTTGTTGCGTCTTGGTCTTCTTTTATAAGAGATGATTAGGTTTCTTTGATTATTATTGAAGGAGAGTTTTAATTGGATTAAAAGAGCTAATAAATATCTTCTAATAAAAGAGGAAATAAATCTCTTTTAATAAAAGAGGAATTAAATCTCTTTTATCTTTATTTTCAAATCCTTTGCAAATAAGACTTATTTCACTCCTTAATTTCTGCGTGAATATCCCAACATTTTAGGATTTATCCCTTGTGTTGTGATTATCTTCAAATGCCACGAAATTTTTACTAGCTAGGAAAATTCCTAATCTTCACAAATTAACACACACCAACAATATTTTTTTCACAAAACCAACTAAAATGCAATATCAAACTTAATTGTGAAGGAAACTATGAAATCATGCATGAATAACTAATAATGCAACTAGATCGAACCTAAATTTAGCAATAATTATGGTTAAAAGGGTAGAAAATATGATACTTTTATACACTTAACATTACACAAATGATCCCCGATATAGGGTATTGATTTAACTATAGGTAACAGATTTTTTAAGTCTATTGACTATCAAAAGTTATAAAATGGTCCTCGTACTATAGTGTATTGCTTTGTTGAGTCCTCGACTATTAGAAGTTACAAAATGGTCACTCGACTATTCATTATGTTCCAAGTTAGTCCTTTTCCATTTAAAAAAAATTAACGGTATTTGAGTCAACATTAACATGCTAATTGTGATATAATAAAATATAAATCTAGAGTCTCAAACGACTATTATATCTCAACCATCATTTTAACGTTCAACTTAGACAACAACCAATTTTTTAATGAAAAAGATGAGTTTGGAACATAATAAATATTTGAGTGACTATTTTATAACTTTTAATAGTCAATGGACTTAACAAAGTAACATTCTATAGTCAAAAGTCTATTTTGTAATTTTTAATATAATAAGTATGTTGATAAATTTTTAGATTTCTTATGATTTGTCATTACTTATATTGCAATTGAGCGTGCAACAACTAATTACACCAATAATCCCTCACTTTGTTAATTTTTATAACACTCCTTAACAAATTAAAAAATAAGGTATAAATTACAAGTACAAAAATTAATCATATTTGTCTTATTGATGTGAGAACAATTTCATTCCCAAATACAAAATGACTACGTATTACTTAACCCTAAACAACACGGAATTGTAAGCATTAAAATGACAACATGTAATTAAAGAAACTAAAACACAGCAGCAACTCAAACAATTAAGATTAGCTAAACACAAAAATCTTAAACGTCTTAGTTTTTTATAAGGTAAACTATACCAGAGACCACTCAACTATAACCCCTTTTCATTTTGACCACCTTTTTTGAATTATTGTCAATCAGCCACTCAACTATTTAAATGCATTCAATCAGACGACTAGCCATTAACATTTAGAGAAAATAACTTCAGTGACCGAAAATGCCTTATAATATACGATTTTAACCAACTTTTTTTAGATTTGCGAAAATGACCAACAAATTCGCAACACGAACTCCAATTTCGTAACACAGTTCCAAAATCACAATGCGAATAAATAAATCGCAACGCTAATTACCGATATAGGTAAACAGTACTATCGCAACGAATAGTAAAATCACAACGCTAATTACCGACATAGGTAAACACTACTATCGGAACGCGGTTTTTAAATTCGCAATGTATTTTCACAAATTGAATTTGCCAATTTCGTAACTTAATTACCGACATAGGTAAATACAGTAGAAAAAATCCGAACAAAAATCCGAATTCATTAATTTGAAAACTGAGTTGCGAATTTAACAAATTCGTGTTGCGAAATGTAAAATCTCGCCTCTTAAAGAAAAAATCATTTCAACTGTTTACTATATAAGTAATTAACGTTACGAATTTAAAAACGCGTTGCGATTTTATATTCGCGTTGCGATAGTACTGTTTACCTATATAGATAATTAGCATTGCATATACGGAAAGCATCGAGTTCCAGGATATAATATCTCTTTGGGGCATTCTATCAAACAAGTTTCGAGCATCCGAAATTTTCCCGAATTTAGAATACAGAGAAGACAAGTATCTAGAAACGCATCGTCGGGTGTAAAATAGTGACGATCCATGTCAGATTGCTTGTCTCTTGACCGACATCGTTGACCCGAAGACATTCGAGCACGAGCGGCGTGTATGCTTCAGCCGTCGCTCGGCCACCGGAGTACAACGAATCAATTGCTTGGCAAAGCTTTTGCCTGCCTTCATTTTTTTTGGAATTACAATTTTTTATTTTCTATTTTCAATAAATGAGAGTTGAATACATTGGCGGGAAAACTGTGTATCATCGTAAAGTCACAATAGGTTTCTACAAAATTATGTAGGCATAATCACAAACGAAGGCTTGTTTCAATGGCAATGCTTCCTTTTCGTCCTTCATGTAGCACGATATGGGTTTGAATCCCAACTTGCTTAAATTGATGATTTTTCCCCTTTATCCTTTGGTGACACGTGCATCTGGTTGGATGGAAAATATTATATTAAATAAACTAAAATTATATAAGAAAAAGCTCTCCAATCATATGATGACATGTGTCGTCATATGATTAGAGGATTAAATTTATTATATTAAGTTAAACTAAATTGAAAGAATGTATAAATATCAATGATCCAATATATAATTATACTAGTTTTATGAACTGTCATGTCATCACTTCCGTTAAGTATTAACGTTAGTGGTCTGATTGAATGCATTTAAATAGTTGAGTGATCTTATAGATTAGAATTCAAAAATTGTGGTCGAAATAAAAATAGACTATAGTTGTATGGTCTCTGCTATAGTTTACCCTTTTTTTTAAAAAGCCTAACTCTGCCCAAAATTAGCGGTCACTTTTAAAATCCTGAATTCAATAAGCGGGAAACAGAAAAATATTTGTAAATGGCGCCCAACTTATATTTGAATGATTGAAAAAAAAAAGTTTAAAAACATCTCAAAGCTTGTTTCTCATTGGTTCGTTCATAAAATCATGCGGATCTTCAAAATATGATTTGGAACCGTCGATAAGTTCCCATCTAACGGCATTAATTCGTTACCCATTTCACTCCACCTCGAACATGTCCAATCTATAAAATTGTCGGACCTTCAGGCGGTCCGAACCATCTGTAGCAATCAACATCTTCTCGTTTCAAACCCAAGCGTTTACTTTATTGAATCACATAGGAACAATGGAAAGTTCAGCAAGAGTAAAGAAGGGAGCTGGAGGGAGGAAAGGTGGTGGCCCCAAGAAAAAGCCTGTTTCAAGGTCTGTCAAAGCTGGACTCCAGTTTCCCGTCGGAAGGATCGGCCGTTACTTGAAGAAAGGAAGGTATTCGCAGCGGGTCGGAACTGGAGCCCCGGTTTACTTGGCTGCTGTTCTTGAGTACTTAGCCGCTGAGGTAGCTGAAGTTTAAATTAAATTGTAGAATTTATTCATATCCTTTTTGGTTTTATGATTCTTAATTTGGGATTTTAATCCAGGTTCTGGAATTGGCTGGAAACGCCGCACGTGATAACAAGAAGAACAGGATCATCCCAAGACACGTGCTGCTCGCCGTGAGGAACGACGAAGAATTGGGCAAACTCCTCGCTGGCGTCACCATTGCTCACGGTGGAGTGTTACCAAACATCAACCCTGTTTTGTTGCCGAAGAAGACCGAAAGGGCCGCGAAAGAACCCAAATCCCCATCGAAGGCCACCAAGTCTCCCAAAAAAGCTTAGTTTGTATTAAGAAACTCAGATTAGCAGGAGTTGGATTCCTCCGTGCTTTTGTTATGTAGGTTTAGAATATTTTAGGCAATATTAATGTCATATGTATGTTACTTTAATGGAAATGAAATATCTTCTTTTTGCTCTTTACATATCTGCTTAGTTTGGTAAATGAATTGAATGTTCAACCAATGTTTGTGAATAGTGTGACAAGAAGTTTGTTTATTTATTAAATGAATGAATATGAATAAGATTTTATGTTTGTTTAATTAAATGAACGAACATGAATAAAGAGTTTTTTCGTTTATTTATGTTCGTGAACGTTGGATTATATGTTTGTTCATTTATGTTTAAACAGAAGAAAAATTGAATATGTTACGAAATTTTTTGAAGTTATTTAGTTTTTAAAAAGATTATTTTGTTGAATAAATTAATTTTAAAATTTTATTATGTTAATATAGTTTATTTTGATTTATGTATGTTTTTGAAGTATTCAAATAAATTAACTCTAAAGTTACAAGTTATATTAATGAATTTTAAGTTGTTATCTTATTGTTTACTTTTTTTTACATTTATTTGTTGTATTTGAATAAATTTGTTTTTTGCGTTTGTGTTGTTCATTTATTGTGTTTGTTTATGTTTGTTTGTTTGTGTTCGTTTGTCATTTAAATGAACGAACATGAACAAATTATATTTTTTAATGAATGAACATGAACAAAATTTTTTTTGTTCTTTATGTTTGTGTTCGTTTATTTATTAAATGAATAAACATGAACATACATTAGTTCGTGTGCTTTCGGTTCGTTTACATGCCCATATCTGCCAAATGATAAATCTAAAAATGACTCTCCATGAGATTTAGTTCCCATGATATGTACATGTACACGTTGGTCATAATAATTCATGCTTACTGGATATAATTTTTACATCATTCCAAACATGCATGCGTTCGGCTATCCTAGGATTAGCATATATTTTATGGGGGAACGAGATTTAAGATATCATTTTAGTTGCTGTCATTATTCATATCTCACCAATCATCATCCATTGTTTATGATATAAGTGAAAAAATCATTCGAAACAGAAATTAAATTGGTTTTTTCTTTGTATAGCCTATATTGTTTATTGTTCGATGAGACAAGTTCTGATATATATTCTTCTTGTTTGGTGAACGTTTTTTATTGTGGGAATTTTCTATTGAACACCCATGAAATTTAGTGAAGCCGATAACTTTTAAAATTATAGAGACCTAAAGGGGAGGGGGAGAAGGTTAACTATATCCATTCTCAGGCTCATTTGATTCATTAGTAACTATATCTTAATTAAATAAAATAAAAATAACTCTATCTTAACTAAATAAAAACAAAAGTGATCATATCTAATGTTTTTACAATCAGTGATTAAAAGTGGATAAAACATAAATATAAGTGACCATCATGTAATTAACCCAAATTTTATTTAAAGATAACTTTTTTGACCTATAATAATAATCATTTTAAATATTTTTTTTAAGAAAATGAACTTTCAGTATGTATTTAGAAGTATTTTATTGAAGGCTTCTTAAATTTATATTTTTGTAATACTAAATTTTAAATAAAAGAAATTCATTGTTAAAAGAACTTATTTAAAAAAACAATAAATGATCATTTTCACACAAAAAAATTATCACTTTTGTGGAACAGAGGGTAGTACTATATTTTATTAAAGAAATTCAGTAAAAGACTAATAAAAAATTTATTAAAACCATTTAATAGTTTCGGTTTTATTGGTTTTTTATTTTTAGAAAAAGTAATCTTGTACTGCACTTTCTTTCACGAGCTCAAAATAATTAATCTAGAAAAAATGTAAGAGTCTATCCACTTCTTAATCATTTAAGATTAAATACATATCCTTTTGATATTTTTAGTGCTCGAACTTGAAACCAAAAAATAACAATAATTCATTTTGCACTTAAAATAGCCTAAACCAATGTACATATTCAGCTGGGGCCTGGAATAGGGTTAAAGCTTCTCTCTAACATTTTATCCGTTTTTCAATATAAATAACGCAAGTGAATTTGACAAGTGAATGATGATTACTTAACTGAAACTAATGAACAGGATCTTAATCCATAACCCATGAAATCAATAAATTTTTAGAAGTTAATGCATACAATATTACCCCAATCGTCTGTCATCTGGGCGATGATTAGGCCCTTTTCGACTTTCCAAGCTTCCCCCAACTAGAAAAGATCAACCTCAACAAGCAATAAAACAAAACCTTGATACAATAGGTTATGAAGTACCAACATGAAGAAGGCAAATACCAGGGATATAATAGTCTAAAGAACAAACTTATAAGGCGTCGAGGGTATCGTCCAACCTGCGCAATTCAATCATCCATAATGAGTTACAGGAAACATAATAGTTCATAGCCCGAACCATCCAATCAGCTAGGATTGATTACCTTTCATTTTAACAAAAGAATAATTTTAAATGAACTTTAAACGATTTTAAAATCAAATCAACTCCAATTAGACTTGAACGATTTTGAGTTCAATCGATTGTTATTTGCGGTTAAAAGTCATGTACTCACAGGAAAAAGCAAATCTAGGGCATCCCGAGCTGCATGACGCACAGCCCTTGTAGGATACATGGGGCCACCAGGTGATGTAAAGCTATATAAACAGGTTTTCAGCCTTGCACTTGTTGCAATCCTCGGTTCCATACCTGCAGGAATAGCGAATCATTCAACTTCATTTTCAAGCAGCTGCATGTGTCACGTGTCGAGACTTAAAGCTCCGCTAAAGTGCACATACGGGCCATGACACATACAACTCTAACTCTAGAAGGGGTTGATAATAATACCTCGAAGAACCTTAATTTGACCAAGATAATGCAGTACGACAGGCTCAACTTTCAATTTTTGAAGCTGGCGCATGAAAATTATCATTAATGTCAATTATAAAATAAGACATTACAATTTGTAGTTTCCAATATGAAAATATCATGTAAGATCACCTGGTCTGCTAGTTCAATAATAAGTATATCTGCTGGTCCACCAACCAGTGAAGCATTTGGAAATGTGGGACATAGCTTTAAGAAGCTTTCGAGTTTATCAACTGCATAGAGTAAAACATCATAAAAGGAATGTCCATTTATATATGTACATTATCGTTCAAAATCAAGGTCAACTGCATAGAGTAAAACATCATAAAAGGAATGTCCATTTATATATGTACATTATCGTTCAAAATCAAGGTTTCAAAGGGAAAAAAGACAAACCCAACCTGAGTTGTAAAAGAATATGACCCTTGACATTAAAAGGTACAGATCCCTCTGGGCCTGAAATGTACAACATATTATATTTTTGACAGTAAATGGCAAAAATATAAAGGGTATAAACTATAAAGCGAAAATAGCTGACCTGTATTGGAATTTTATTTAACCTTGTAGGCTCCAATACAACTTCATTGAGAAGGTACTGAGTCCATGGAAGAATGAAAATTGAACAATTAGATACTTCAAAAAGAATTATAAAAGCAAGAATTCATTTCAAATGGTGATGTGTCTTTTAAGTTTACCTGAAAGAGAGACTGGAAACACTTCGTATTTGATTGGATGTCAATCCTGCATAAAACCATAAAATTAATCGAACCTATACAACATAATCAAGTGCCACTATTTTCTTCAAGCATGACCCTCTATGATAATGGCAACTTCAAAAGCTAAAGGTGCGTATGTTCAGTTTTTCCAAGTTTTCTCGCGTACTTTGAGGATCTTTGAAACGTTATATCCCACTCGTGTTAAGATACGAGTTGGACTAGGATATTTCAAGAAAAAAAATAGTTGGAAGCTAGTTTGGCAACCGGACAAAAGAAAATTCCCTCTCAAGCATTATAAATTTAATTTCCTACCAGAAAACATTTGTGGCACCCTGAACAAGTGCTGAAGCATAACGGAGCTGAACATCTGCATCATCCAGTTGAACTTCAAATAACTGCAGATAGAGGAAAATGCAAATCATTTACAGTTCAATATAAAGGACTTCACCAAAAAAATCAAGATCCTTCACTGGTGAAAACAACATTTGTTCAGTTTCTAATGCTAAGATATCTGAATAATCGTTATCTACTACTGAGCACTGTCACATTTGAAAAATGTAAGAAAAGGCCATAACCACTCTTTTTAGTGGTCAGTTTCATCCAGAGAACCTTGATTTATGCAATTCTGTATCACTAGTCAAATCCTCAATGATACTTAGAGACTGTAAATGGAAACCGCGCTTAAATAGGGAATAAAACCAAAATCCAAGTAAGAACAATGTATAAGTTAAAGAGAAATTTTCTTGAGCAGAAAAAGTGTTTGCAGCTTGTCAGATATATTTCTTACTTTTTTACTTTAACCAGTTCGGAACACTCAAAATTACTACATAGTGGAGCTACCAGTACCAACTATTTGTTCACTAAACAGAACAAAAAATAAACAGCTGCAACAGCCAAACAAATGCCCTTCACAAAAGCTACCATCATAAAAGCAATCTTTCAGGAAACTTAAGTAGTTGAGTTCCATTAAATGATTCATTTAATTTGGAAATCAGGAAAGCTGTGCAGTTCAGAAATGATTCATATGATGATCTAAACTTCAAATTGGAACGGCGAAAGAACTTTGAACTTACGAGTTATGATGAGTTTGCTTACCCAGTTATGGAATAACAGAACAAAAATGTGAGATGCAAATGACTGGCTCCACAGTTGAACAATCAAATCAAGGATAGGCTTTCCACGAGGGGGTAGTCGGACATAATAATCAGCAAGAACATCATAAAAGTACAACCGACCATTAACGCCGTTAGCCGCGGAAGATATTTGATTTTCTCTACTTAAAATTATATCTGTTTACAATTTCAATACAAAACAATATGAGAAATACTCCAAATAGTTTAAACTTAATTTGATGTAAATTGTAAAATAAGCTAACCTTTGGCTCGATCATCGATTTCTAAAGCTATATCTGCAAATAATTCTTCTAATAAGTTGCGTCTCTGAGATGAAGATGCTAATGCCTGCAACAAATTTGAATATACATCGTTCAAAAATCTCTAAACAGTACCCAAAAAAAGCAAAAGAGAATAAAAAAAGAGGAAACACGCTTTTATTATTTTTAATCAAGTCATTAGCAGTACTAATAATAATATACTTTGCGGACGCCAGTAAAAACTCAACATCGCCCAAAAAATATTAAACGTAAACGTAACCATTTCCGCTTTCAGAAAAAAAAATTCTTTGAAAAGGAAAGAAAGAAATTTAAAAAAAGAAGCTCAAATCGCTTTGTCGTTCCACACATTTTCGCGAGAAACAAACAGGAAAGCAGAAAAGGACAGGAGAAAACGAACCCGCTGAAGTTTTTTCTGGATTTCTAGTGAGAGCGCGTTGATATAAGCGGAGCTTCGAGGTCCGGAGGAAGTTTCTACTCGGTGCTGCATTTCTGTGTTAAGATCTTGACAGCATAAAGCATAGAAGAAAAGAAGAAGAAGGATCTGTTATTTGAGAGAGAGAGAAGGAATTTGGATTTCGAATTTGATCCAAACAAAAAGAAAGCAACAAACTGATGGCAAAAGCGTTTGGATTCTCTCCTCAAGAGATATTTATCTTTGTTGAATGCCAAGGCCGTTGCCGTTTTGGTCTTTTTACCGACAGGCAGGGAGTAGAAAATGCAGTGGATTTAGACAAATATATAATAATGGTTAAACGATAAGAGGGATGAAGCAAGGCGTGGCAGAGAAGCAGGAGCCAGGACGGAGTTGAGAGAGGAAGCAAGAGGGAGTGGGTGGTGACAAGGATTTTGTTGTCGTGATGCGTTGCGTTTTCTGGTTTTCTTCTCTTGGAAGGGTAGAGTAGAATGGATATACATATAGCGCCAAATTTATTATTGATAGTTTGATACGGTCACTGATTTGGAAAGCTACAGCTATTCCTCCGTTTTTCACTTATCAAGATGACGGCCACGTGTTATTCTCATCCCTTCATATTTCCCTTTTTCTTTTACTTTTGAATTATCAAGTTATATTTATGACTATTTTGTCTATCAAAATTTTAAAAAATACGAAATAATTATTATAAATTAATTATCATGGTATTATAATAAATATAAGAAATTAAATATGTATATATTTATATTAAAACATTTAAAATTTAAAAGTTAATAATTATTTAAATATTATCAATGACTCCTAGCATAATTTACCTTGAATTTTACTCAGGTTAAAAACCCTTTGTTCTATTCATTATCGAAGTAGGGTCGTAAACGAGCAGAGTCAAACTCGTGTATTATTGAATTTGACTCAACTTAAAAACTTTGAAATAGAGCTCAACTAGTCTTGAAAACTTAGTCTAAAATTTTTAAATTCGACTCGAACTCGAAATCATGAACTAAAGCCTATAAAAGCTTAAAAAGAAAAAAAAATCTTAAATTTAACTCGATTAAAGCCTCAAACGCGAACCTGAACTTTAAATACATGAAAACCTTAAACTGCATTAAAAAAAACTCAAACACATAACTGTTAATATTATTAAAATTTATTTTTTAAAATAAAATCTTAATATATTATATTTTTGAGCTGCTCACTAGCTCTAGTTGAATATCAAGTAGCTCGTTTCGGCTCATTAAGAACTCGAGTCTAGCTCGAGCTTGAGTCGAGTCCATTTGAGTCGTATTTATCGAGATTTAATCGAGTTGATATCGAATAGCTCGTGATCTGTCTAGTGTCATTTACAACTCTAATTGAAAGTGATATAACACTTAATTATTTAGTTAAATTTTCTACTAAAAAATACTTTTAAAATGATATTTATATCGATTAAACTTCATATTAATAATTTAAGTGTTATTAAACACCGGTTAAAATCAACAAAATTTAAAATTTTGATTTAACTAATTTGAATTTATATATAATTTTATTTGATAATTTTTTAAAAAGAATTCAGGGTTAAGATTAAGCATATTATAAAATGATACAGAAGTAGTTGTGAAGAGGAGTGTTTTAGAGCTAACGACAACTTAATGTTGAATTAAATATTATTTTAGGGTAGTTGGTATAATAAAATGCTGAGTTCAATATTAATTGTAAACACGACTGACTGAAAAAAAGACCAAAGACTGAAGTCCGACTGATAACCGACGACTGATTGTGTTTTAGAGATACCGCCATCTTAATGCGATGGTTGAAATGCAGCATTTATCTTTTTTCTTTTCGGTCGGTGGGGCACATTAGATTTTCTACGATTAAATAGGATTCTTTTTATTCCACTTTCAGTTAATAACGCGTTTAGACTTTGACGGTTGCTTTAAACATTTTTTAAATTATAATTGTTTAAAATTTTAAAATATACTTGTAAACAGAGATCACAACTGGTCGGATCAATTTTTTTTATTAATTCAACTTGATCTAAAAATATATATCATCTATCCAAATCTGATTCAATTCAAATGTATATACTATCATCCTGATATGATCAAAATAGCATATTTCCTCTATCCAAACTTGACCAAATATGAATTTTTAAAGTATAAATGTGATTTATTTCAAGTCGACGTAAAATAGAGACTTATAAAGAAAACTACCTGGAAAAGGGGTATTATATCAATTATTCATAAATTTATATGAGAAAATATACTATAATCCTTAGGTTGGTTTAAGTCGGACGTTTTTCACTCTCCACTCAAACTCGATTTGAACTAATTTTTTAAATCGATTATATCAAGTTGAATCATATCAAAATTTCATAATTAATTAATTTTGTTTCGTTAAACCAAAAATATAATTAATTAAAAATGATTTCAATTCGGTTAACTTGTCCAAAACACTTAATTTAAAAACTTAATTTGATTAATAATTAACCGATGATTTTTTTGCCTCCCGTTTTAAGGTTTCATTTTGACTATTCTGAATTGATCTACGTCGCACACTTAACTTTGGTAGGTAACTCTCTTAGCGGTGATTTTCTGTATACATAATAATTCGAACTTGAGACGTTGCTTAAAATGTAACATCCTCAATACCGGGTTAGTGATTAAATTGTAAAATTTTAGAATTTGGTGATGAAAGTAGAATAGTTGAATAGCTCAATGATTTATGTAGAGATATTTCCTGAAAGTTATTAGTAATTATTAAAAGAATGAGAGGGCAAAATGGTCATTTGACTTTGAAATAATAAAAAATGATGATATATATATATGAGGAGATAAGGATGAGGAGATATTTCTATATTTCATCATCTTCTTCTTCATGTACGAGAGAAAGAGAGAGCCACACTTGCAAAGGTAAGTTTTCTCATTAGTTGATTATTTATTGATTTAAAGTTTGGGTTTTGATCATTAGATGATAACTAAGCTTAAGGAAAGCTTAAGTTATCTTAAAATCAAAAGATAAAAGAGTTATGAAAGATTAAAGAAAATGTTTTAAGTGAAATTTTAAATAAGAAGGTTTAAATGAATTTGGAGGATGGATTTGACTTGTCATCTATGAGAATAAGAAGTTAGAAGTGTTAGAATTAAGTTTGGATAACATGGAAAGTTTGGTATGATTCTCAACCTTAAGAATTTGGATGAAATATGGGAGATTATAAAGTGTTGGAATAATATAAATTAGTTAAAGTTGTTATAGATGAGTTTAGTAGCATGATAAGGATTTTATACATGAAAATTTGGGTGAAGTGTTGATGATTTTCGGATGAAATAGCCTATTATGGGCAGGTGCATCGATGCACTAAGATAATTTTTGAATGTGCATCGATGCATTAAGAGGTGCATCGATGCATGAGAATTTCGAAGCTATTTTGTGTACTGATGCACCCATAGTACATCGATACACCCCTAAAGGAAAAATGGAATTTTGGTTCATTAAATTAGCCTAAGTTATTAATACCAAGTTATAAGGTTTAGGCTTTTGATAATTGTCTCGAAAATTATGTTTATGTAGATATTGAGCCTAAACAAGTTCGGAACAATCAAAGAGTTGGGATCGAACCAAAGCAAGGCTAAGGTGAGTACAAATTTTAATTGTACTTATGGTATTGAACGAACATTGGCTTGCGATGAGCCAATGATGGAGTTACTATGGTAAGAAGTAACTCCTAGAATGTTATTTGATTTGTGATTCTTATATGTGCATGAATATATGAAATGGGTATAGGTTATTATATATATGTTACATGATCTGCATAAACATAAGAGCATACAACATAAGATATAGGATATGATATACATGATTATATGCAATATGTATTACATGTTATATGAAATGACATAGATATTTACATATACATGTGGTATGTGACAGAAGAAAAGGTATATGTGATCACAAGAGAAATGAATGAGTACATGAACATATGAAACACAAGAATAATGCCCATGGTATATGATATGAGAACTATAGGTATAGTTGGCATGGCAAGAGTCGAGGGTTTTACGTGGTCCTTCGGGACATAAATGTATTCTTTGGAACATTTACAGGGTCTTGTGAGACACATATGTGATCCATTGGAATATGTATATGGTTCTTAAGGAGTGGTCCTTCGGGACAAATACAATACATAGGTCTTTCGGGACAAATTTCATATCCCCTAGTGGGACCCCATACGAGCTGTGGTGACAACATAGTGCACAACCTCAATGTACTCGAATACCTTGAGTTCTCAGTAATTTACATGGGAATACAAAAAGGTATAAAGGTGTTTGCATTATTACATGTTATCATGCTATTATTATTTACATGGAATCATATGTGACATGATTGAACGAGTAGAAGATATGTTCATATGGATATGAAATGCATTATTTTTATTATATGTTTATATGTCTCACTAAGTCAACGACTTAGCGTGTGATTGTTTCACGCGTAGGTTCCGAGAAGAGAAAGATTGATAAAAGTTATACAAGACATGTCAGTTTATCCTTTCCAAAGATTAGATCAGAAAAGAAATGTATAGTATGTATTTTGTAATAAGGATAGTGGTTGGCATGTAAATAAAGATTTGAATTCGATATGCTCTAATCGGTTTTGTAAAATCATATGATTGAATTTTGTAATGTTTTAAAGTAAATATGTGCATGGTAAATGTATAGTAATGAACGGTTAAATTTTTACGAGTTTTATGAACGTTTTACGAAAGTTACTGTAGCAGTGCATCGATACATAATTTATATTCGAAAATGTTCACTGTTCATGGTACTGTTCATGGTACTGTTCATACCATATAGTACTGTTCACCAATAAGTATTTTTTTCCAGATTTTTATAATGAAGCATAATTTAATGGTCTATTATTGTATTTTCTTAAAATAAGTCCAAATGTATGTATTTTGTAAGAATATTGTTTTAAAAAGTCAATGTTACATCTCAGACTAGTATCTGGGTCGAGGTATTACATAAAAGATATCAAGTTGTTTGTCACATAAACCAACTCTGATTATTCTTTAAAATAACTAATTTCACAAGTAAAATTAAGATTAAATTTAAACAATTATATGATTAGGAATGAGTCCGATTTTTACCCTACTCAAACATAACCATAATTTTATATCCTTTAGTCATAACCTAACCCGAGGTTGGAAAAGTTTTTTTTTTTGAAAGAGCTGGGTCAAATAGCATTAAAGAGAAATCACAGTACAACCAAGAAACCATGGGATAGGTAAAACAAACAAAACCCATACAGAGAAAACACCTCATTCCAGGGATGACATAAGACCAGCTATCAAAAAATAAGAGAAACTCGGAGTGCACGATATGCAGATAAAAAGGGAATCCGAGTAGACATGACCCAACCCACCAGCGGAAAACAAACGAGACAGCAGACCAG